TCCATTATTTATAAAGGCATGTTTATTCCTGTTTTAGATTTTTCAAGGCCTCGAGGGAGCAGGATGCGAAGGCCTGAGGCCATGGCTAGAGGCACTGAATACAAGCTGTTGGCAGTGGCCAAAGAAAAGAGCAAGTTTTTGGACAAGCATACTGGAAATACGGTGTTCAAGACGCTTGCTATTTATAAAGACTTTGGAATGACATTCTATACATTCATGCCTTTCCATTATGACAACAAAGATGATGATTATTATATAGCCAAGAACAAAGACATACAAGATGGTAAGAATGTCAGAGTTGTCTTTTATGGAAAAATTGCTGGTACTAACGAGCTTGAGATTCTTGATGATGGGCAAGGTAAATTTTGACAATATTTCAATTGTATTGAATTATTCGATTTGTAAGTTTTGTGTTCTTATACCATTTATTTTGCTTGCAGAGGTTGACAAAACCAAATTGGAAGGGGTCAAGACGATTATGGACCTTGAAGCTGGACATGAACCGAGTCCAAAGAAGTTCAAGACTGAGAGCATTGATGATTAATTATAATGGCAGTCTGTTCATTATTTGTGTCGCTTAAACAGACTGATTATAGATGATTGCTATTTTGTAGTCGTGTTTGCAAAACATTTTCAGGCCCTATGTATGTTTAATGTGATATTGTACTTTTATATTAATATGTGTAAATATTTTTGTATTAACGTTTTAATATCACAGTCCTCCACAAGATGTGATTAGTCCAAGAATCTTTCTGGAAGAGCTGGCATGTGTTTCTTATGACTAATGTTTATTTCGTCAAGACATTTAAACTCATCATCTTTCAGAATTAATTTTTAATGTAAGCTTTATTATATGTTCAAAGATTACAAACATTTGTCTTGGAACATGTTTCAATAAAATAATTATGTCACAAACAAAATGTGCCCAAAATCACTTGCTATCACCTGAAACCATTGTTTGACAACATTTCTGACTAGAAGATAAATATCTTACAAACAAACCAAGCTTGGAATGTTTGGTATCACAAGAAAATACATAAATATCACAATGATATCACATTGACACTGAGTCTTCAAACCAACTATATCATTTTCTCTCGTAGACATTCCAGAAATCTTCTTTTCAATTCTTGTACTTTTCCATCATTGATTTTAAATAATCTTTCAACTGGAAATGATTGTAATAAGACATGACTCAATGACTTTGTTCTTGATAAAGCAACAATTGTAATGCCTGAAGGTGTTCATTTTCATTGTTTATTTTAAGGGCAGTCAAATAAAATAAAAAGTACAAATATGTTTTGATCACATTAAAGTGGTGTTCGTGAATAGATGGGACGGATCATCTTTTTATTGATTGCTTTAAATTTTATGTTTAGTTCTGTTTTTACTGAATGTTGCAAGTACTGCATCAGGTGATAATTTCTACACATTTACAGTTATATTGCTAATCATAACTGTTAAACTTTGTTGCTATCTGAATCTGTGAATTGGTGTGTAAGGATACAACTGTTATATTGAATTTACTGAATGTTGGTCTTTTACTGATCATTACCATATGTCTGCTGGTATGGAAGTGAAGTGGTTGGATTTCGGTGTGGTGTGACTAGAGTTGGCCTGCCACCAGCATTGCTTGGACGGGAAATTTCAAAATCGGTAGGCTGAGCAGATAGTGGAAGTGGCACGATGAGAGGGTAGCATTTGTTGCTTATCTAGAGCAAATTCTTTGAATGGCATTTTGATAAAATCATTTGCAGAAGCAAGATTGGTCAAAGCAGACAAATTGGTTCCAGTTATGTTGCGAGAATTATTCTATCAAAATTTGACATCTAAGTTGCTCTGACACTGCCTGTCAGACAATTTCAAATATTGACACTGCAAATATGTGAAATATATATATATTGTATTTTAAATTATATTGAATAGTTTATAACGTATTGAGGAAAATCACAACAAGAAAATAAATTGCATACACACATTTGCCAAGATTGTACTAATCTTTTATTTTATCATAAAAGTCACTTACCACTACAATTCGAAAGAACAACAAATATAACCAATGAATTGAATTGAATGTATTCCGACGCTGGCGTCATGAATAGGATTCAGAAGGCGAAGCCCTTGGAATGGATATTCCTAACTAGTTTACAACTTCACACTTATTGGCGAGCGATAGCGAGCCCTTGCCGTGTTTGGGCGCTCCAAAAAGTGACTGGTCGTGCGTCTGTCTGTCTGTAGCGTACACGCTCACGTTTCTCAGCAACTAAAACAAATATTCCCAAATTTTTGCACCGAACATCCTCAAAAGGTCCCACAGGGGAGTTTATTTTATATTCACGATTACTACCGTTTGAAATATTCAAAACATCTTTTTGAATTAGGTTCTTAGCGTGGTTAGGTTGGCACCCTATAGCAATTTTTCATACTTGCGGCCGCGGCTCTCAAATAGGGGACTGGCAAAACATTGGCAAATAAAACAAAATAAGAGGAGAAGGCTTAGAAGTGATTTTCGGTCTTAGTTTTTCGATATTCTAGAATGATTGAAACCCTCCGGAGTGTCAACACAGTGAAATAGGGAAAAATGAAAGTGACAATTATTACGCGTTTCGTCCGTCCGTCCGCCCCCTCACCCCCCCCGCCACAGGGGAAATGTTTTGGTCAGTGGAGTGTGTTTGATCGTTTGAAAATTGCAAGAATGATTTGGTTTTTTTAAGTTTTGAGAGTGTATTTCCATTTTTATTCTCAGACTTATACTTTTAGTTGTTTGCTTTGCTCAATAACAGTTAGAAAATAGACCAATACAATCTAAAAGTACAAACCAGACAGAAATCTTGCCAAAAAAAATAGTCTTTGCGACTCTTGGCACTGACTCTGGCGAAAGGCTTCATTGCAATGCTGTAAGTTTACTATAGTACTAACCTTAAAGATAACTATATGGTGAGTGAGAGTAGCGCATACAGGGTTTTGACATTGACATCTGATTCAATGAGACGATTCAGTGATTTGGGTCTATGATTTCATGAGACGATTCTTTTAACTTCGCAACTGGTAATTTGTGTCGTCATGGTTTGAGTTGGCTGTCTTTTTAATTTATTCAGAATGTTAGGTAAATACTTCTGCTATATGTTTTAAAGATTAAATATCACATCATGACTATCATTATAAATAAGTTTAAACTTGCATTTAGCAATAAGTGGGCTCGACATTGAATTCAATGGAACGATTCATTGGATCTGACAGAAGGTCTTTTCCGTAAAGTAGTTGCAATCAGCCTGCCTGTAAATGTGTCTCTTTTTTAAATTTAAATTTAGATAAATCAATGCAGTTTTATCCACTAGTTTAAAATAAAAGGGAGATAAAAGGCTTTTTAGGGATTACTTATAACATTGTGTATTCATAACTTCAATAACAAAGGGGATATCGAATGGTAATTGAAGCATTTTTGAAACGTATTAAGTAATTCAATGCTGGCTGTTGAATGTTACTCGACTGAGTAACAGTGTCAGGGTTCAAATTACGACACAATGAACAGGAAAAAACACTTTAAAATTTCGAAAAAGACTTCCAATTTCATCCCAGACCATTTCTTTTCCCAAAAATTTTCCAATTTCTGGCCAAAATTTTTTAGTCGAGTTTTACATAGTTTCCTGCAGTTTTTAGTGTGCTGATCACAAAAAAGACTTCCAATTTCATCTCAGACCTTTACTTTTCCAAATTTTACCAATTTTTGGGCCAAAATTTTTTAGTCTAGTTTTTTCATAGTTTCCCGCAGTTTTTGGTGTGCTGATCACGAAAATAAATTCCAATTTCATCTCAGACCTTTACTTTTCCAAATTTTACCAATTTTTGGACCAAAAATTTTTTAGTCGAGTTTTACATAGTTTCCTGCAGTTTTTGGTGTGCTGATCACGAAAATGACTTCCAAATTTTATCCCCGACCTTTACTTTTTTCAAAAATTTTCCAATTTGTGACCCAAAATTTCAAAGTTGAGTTTCCCCTTGTTTCCTGCAGTTTTCAGTAAAGGTTTTCACGAAAATGACATGAATTCCCGGGCCCCTTTTGTGACGGAAGACACTGTATTGGGGCCCTTTTTCTGCACATATTCTTCGCCATCTCCTATAAGAATGTGTTCAGACGCATCGCTCGCCTACTACGCGCCCAAACTAAACGGCGCGTACCCCTAGTAAATGTCATGCGACATTTCTTTTCTCCTAGGGATAATGCAATTATGAGCACATCCGACGATGATTCAGTTTTGTTCCCCCTGGCGACACATTTTGTCCACACTGAAAATCTACCGGCGTGACTTCGTGCCGCTGCAGGGGCGTGAATAAAGTGTCACGCCAATAACGGCATGACAGAAAAGTCACGCCAAAAATCGGCGTGACTCAAAAATTTACGCCAATTTTTGGTGTGAATTTCTTGTCATGCCGCATTTTGGCATGACTTTTCTCATAGAGCGCGTTGTCATTCAGGCCAAGTAAGGGCGTGACTCACGCCGTTTGACGGTGTGAATTTCGTGTCACGCCAATTTTTGACGTGACTTTTTGTCACGCCATAATTTGGCCGACCACGTTTTCAGTGCAATTGTCTTCTGCACTTTCACTTTCATAAGACAATTCGTCCCGCGTGGCAGGCACAAAATTGTAACATCGTCGGATGTGCCTAAAATTGTATCATTTATGGGACAAAAAGAGTCTCACGACATTTGGTGTGTTGATTGCATTATGAACTGTTGAAATGCAAGCACGTTGTTCGCTTAAGTACGAACTGCCAGTTCATAATACAACCAAGTCATAACTCATCGCAAGCTATAATCCAATAAGTTTGAATTGCAAGATTCTAAATACTGACCAAGTACGGCATGACAAGAAATTCACACCCAAAATTGGCGTGAATTTTTGAGTCACGCCGATTTTTGACGTGACTTTTCTATCATGCCGTTTATTGGCGTGACACTTCACTGAATCAGTGTTCCAGCAAGTCGCAGAGTACTAACCTTCCGGCAGATGGGGCAACGAATTGAGACTCGACGGCCGCGCTGGTGCAAGTCTCGCACGCACCGGCGGCACAGGGTGTGGCCGCAGACCAGAAGCGTTGGCGACAGCGCGTCCGCGTCGAACTTCTCCAGGCAGACCGTGCAGTTGCTTACGTCATCCATTTTGTTAGCATTAACTCTGTAAATAAAGGTTGAGTTGTTACTAAATGGCCATGAAAAACCTGAATAAAGTCG